TTCCATGTATGGCACAACATTTCAAGGGTGTTTTGGTTGGTTAAAGCAGGTTATGCTGGAAACGTGCTGAAAGACAAATGCAACACAGTAGCAGATATGAACACAACATGTGCCTTTGTCAAAAAATAAATAACTACTGGTCAAACAAAATGCCATGGCACTTATTGATAAGCATTCATCTGACCTCTCTTCATCGTACTGTAGTATACTCCCACTATTTGAGATTTGGATTGTTTAATCATGTAATGCAACAATGCTCAAAAGTGTATTTCCTGCTGCTGAAGCGATACGAAACAATGTCTACAGAATTTCCTTTACTCGCTTAATTAATGTTTACTGTGTTTTGTCCTAATCTGTATGTTTAGCAGCATAAGGATATTACCAACTAATTAAGTAAAATCTTCGGTTTTTCATTCATGCTACCAATGAAAGATCAACTACAGGACCTGTATAGGTCTCAAGGGGCTTTCCTCACTGTAAAATGTAGAGCTGTACACATATCTAAGATATACATTCTTGTTTGAAATGTTATGCCTGTAGATGTGAAAAGTAATTCACACAAATGCAATGAAAATACAGTTGAAGTCGGAAGTTTACATACACTTAGGTTGGAGTCATTAAAACTTGTTTTTCAACCACTCCACACATTTCTTGTTAACAAACTATAGTTTTGGCAAGTCGGTTAGGACATCTACTTTGTGCATGACACAAGTAATTTTTCCAACAGTTGTTTACAGACAGATTATTTCACTTATAATTCACTGTATCACAATTCCAGTGGGTCAGAAGTGTACATACACTAAGATGACTGTGCCTTTAAACAGCTTGGAAAATTCCAGAAAATAATGTCATGGCTTTAGAAGCTTCTGATAGGCTAATTGACATCATTTGAGTCAATTGGAGGTGTACCTGTGGATGTATTTCAAGGCCTACCTTCAAACGCAGTGCCTCTTTGCTTGACATCATGGGAAAATGAAAAGACATCATCCAAGACCTCAGAAAACAAATTGTAGACCTCCACAAGTCTGGTTAATCCTTGGGAGCAATTTCCAAATGCCTGAAGGTACCAAATTCATCTGTACAAACAATAGTACGCAAGTATAAACACCATGGGACCGCGCAGCCGTCATAACGCTCAGGAAGGAGACGCGTTCTGTCTCCTAGAGATTAATGTACTTTGGTGCGAAAAGTGCAAATCAATCCCAGAACAACAGCAAAGGACCTTGTGAAGATGCTGGAGGAAACAGGTACAAAAGTACCTATATCCACAGTAAAACGAGTCCTATATCGACATAACCTGAAAGGCCGCTCAGCAAGGAAGAAGCCACTGCTCCAAAACCGCCATAAAAACGCCAGACTACGGTTTGCAACTGCACATGGGGACAAAGATCGTACTTTTTGGAGAAATGTCCTCTGGTCTGATGAAACAAAAGTAGAACTATTTGGCCATAATGACCATCGTTATGTTTGGAGGAAAAAGGGGGACGCTTGCAAGCCGAAGAACACCATCCCAACCGTGAAGCACGGGGGTGGCAGCATCATGCTGGGGGTGCTTTGCTGCAGGAGGGACTGGTGCACGTCACAAAATAGATGGCATCATGAGGAAGGAAAATTATGTGGATATATTGAAGCAACATCTCAAGACATGTCAGGAAGTTAAAGCTTGGTCACAAATGGGTCTTCCAAATGGACAATGACCCCAAGCATACTTCCAAAGTTGTGGCAACATGACTTAAGGACAACAAAGTCAAGGTAATGGAGTGGCCATCACAAAGCCCTGACCTCAATCCTATAGAAAATGTGTGGGCATAACTGAAAAAGCGTGTGCGAGCAAGGAGGCCTACAACCCTGACTCAGTTACACCAGCTCTGTCAGGAGGAATGGGCCAAAATTTACCCAACTTATTGTGGGAAGCTTGTGGAAGGCTACCCAAAACGTTTGACCCAAGTTAAACAATTTAAAAAGGCAATGCTACCAAATACTAATTGAGTGTATGTAAACTTCTGACCCACTGGGAATGTGATGAAAGAAATAAAAGCTGAAATAAATCATTCTCTCTACTGTTATTCTGACATTTCACATTCTTAAAATAAAGTGTTGATCCTAAGACAGGGAATGTTTACTAGGATTACATGTCAGGAATTGTGAAAAACTGAGTTTAAATGTATTTTGCTAAGGTGTATGTAAACTTCCGACTTCAACTGTATACAGGAAATAAAAAAGCCTATATAATATGCCTATATAATTTAGCTCCATCAATGCTTTCCCTTAAGACTGTACAGGATTGATTCCTGCTGAGAAGAGTGAGACGTAAACTGCTATCATGGTGTTGGCTTAGGCCTAATGGCAACCCTGGGTCTTATTCATTAATGTACACCGTAGCAAAACGTTAAAAAACATTTATCTTATTGGATAAGTCCAGGTAGTCCTACCCTGTTTCAGTCCATTTTCTTCCATTTGGTGCCTAATGAATATGACCCTGATCTCCACTGGATCATTTCCTATGGCAGTGGGAGCAGCCATTCCTTCAGTGAACCTCCTACTACTACATTAACATATGATTGGATGACTGATTCAGAGCACTTCCTGATTATGATTGAAAGAACAAAAGAGCAGTTTGTATAAAATAGAGGTACATATACACTTCCAGTCAAATGTTTGGACACACCTACTCATTCAAGGGTCTTTCTTTATTTTTACTATTTTCTACATTGTAGAATAATAGTGAAGATTTCAATACTATGAAATAACACATATGGAATCATGTAATAACCAAAAAAGTGTTAAACAAAGCAAAATATATTTGAGATTTTTCAAATAGCTACCTTTTGCCTTGATGACAGCTTTGCACACTCTTGGCATTCTCTCAACCAGCTTCATGAGGTAGTCACTTGGAATGCATTTCAATTAACAGGTGTGCCTTCTTAAAAGTTAATTTGTGGAATTTCTTTACTTCTTAATGCGTTTGAGCCAATCAGTTGTGTTGTGACAAGGTAAGGGTGGTATACAGAAGATAGCCCTATTTGGTAAAATACCAAGTCCATATTATGGCAAGAACAGCTCAAATAAGGAAAGAGAAACGACAGTCCATCATTACTTTAAGACATGAAGGTCAGTCAATACGGAACATTTCAAGAACTTTGAAAGTTTCTTCAAGTGCAGTCGCAAAAACCATCAAGCGCTATGATGAAACTGGGTCTCATGAGGACCGCCACAGGAATGGAACACCCAGAGTTACCTCTGCTGCAGAGGATACGTTCATTAGAGTTACCAGCCTCAGAAATTGCAGCCCAAATAAATGCTTCACAGAGTTCAAGTAACAGACGCATCTAAACATCAACTGTTCAGAGGAGACTGTGTGAATCAGGCCTTTATGGTCGAATTGCTGCAAAGAAACCACTACTAAAGGACATCAATAATAAGAAGAGACTTGCTTGGGCCAAGAAACACGAGCAATGGACCTTAGACCGGTGGAAATGTGTCCTTTGGTCTGGAGTCCAAATTGGAGATTTTTGGTTCCAACCGCCGTGTCTTTGTGAGATGCAGTGTGGGTGAACGGATGATCTCTGCATGTGTATTTCCCTCCGTAAAGCGTGGAGGTGGTGGTGTTATGGTGTGGGGGTGCTTTGCTGGTGACACGGTCTGTGATTTATTTAGAATTCAAGGCACACTTAACCAGCATGTCTACCACAGCATTCTGCAGCGATACGCCATCCCATCTGTTTAGGGCTTAGTGGGACTATCATTTGTTTTTCAACAGGACAATGACCCAACACACCTCCAGGCTGTGTAAGGGCTATTTGACCAAGAAGGAGAGTGATGGAGTGCTGCATCAGATGACCTGGCCTCCACAATCCCCCGACATCAACCAAATTGAGATGGTTTGGGAGGAGTCGGACCGCAGAGTGAAGGAAAAGCAGCCAACAAATGCTCAGCATATGTGGGAACTCCTTCAAGACTGTTGGAAGTTGGAATTCCAGGTGAAGCTGGTTGAGAGAATGCCAAGAGTGTGCAAAGCTGTCATCAAGGGTGGCTACTTTGAAGAATCTCAAATATAAAATATATTTTGATTTGTTTAACACTTTTTTGGTTACTACATGATTCCATATGTGTTATTTCATAGTTTTGATGTCTTCATTATTATTCTACAATGTAGAAAATAGTAAAAATAAAGAAAAACCCTTAGTAGGTGTCCAAACTTTTGACTGGTACTGTATATCTATCAGCTTAGATGTAATGCATGTGCACATACATACAGAACGTACACCTGTATACACACACACACCAAATGCATTGGAATAGAGTACACCCATATACAATTACTCAAATATACACTTTAAGAAACATATATTCATAGCAATGAACAAAATATTGCATATTTCACTGCATATTTGACTAAGCTTAATGAGGTCATGTCCTGTTTTGCTTGACAAAAAGTATACAAAAATATGGATCTGGCATCTGTAAAATAAATGTTTTAAGGTAAAAGATATTAGGTGAAATAAATAAATGCATATAAGTAACACTCAATCCTGTTTGAACTAAACACTTAAATAGACACTGACTGTGGTACTTTGAGAAATGACCAGAGAGGTATTTAAAAATTGATATTTTCTTTCAATGCATATTTTCTTTGATTCAGAATATTTGCAATGGAATTCCTACAGGAGGACCCAATAAAGTCCAGCATCTGTTGAATGGGGTAAGAAAGAAGGGATGGATACAGTCAGGCAAACCAACGGGAGGGACAGGGGGTTGTCTCTTCATCCAGAGTGTTATCCAGAATCAACCTATGTTCTGATGCCATCTCAGAGCAGAGAAGCAATCTCTCCAATCAGCCTTGAAGGAATGATACATAGAAGGGTAAACACACCCACCTGTATTGTACTATCCCCTCCCTCCCTCTTCAGAGAAAGAGGTGGTGAGGAGAACAGCACATAGTGATTGGGACAGACAGAAAGAAAGTCCAGACAGACAGTTAGTGTTGACCTTCTAGTCTACATCTTGATGCCCTCTTGCTGGCTGAGCTGGGACAGGGACTTCTTGATGCGCAGCGCGGTGAGGCGGGCCGCCCCGTTGGAGTACCAGCACTCCCTCATGATCTTAGCCATCACCCGCAGCACCTGGGGAGGGGACAGAGTCAGGGGAGGCAGGGGGTCAACATCACAAGCAGCAATAACACACCCATATTTTGTTTTGTAAGTTGTTGAGCACTGAGATACTAGCTGCCCCCACCAATCGTAGAGTACAGTGGGGGAAAAAAGTATTTAGTCAGCCACCAATTGTGCAAGTTCTCCCACTTAAAAAGATGAGAGAGGCCTGTAATTTTCATCATAGGTACACGTCAACTATGACAGACAAAATGAGAGAAAAAAAATCATGAAAATCACATTGTAGGATTTTTAATGAATTTATTTGCAAATTATGGTGGAAAATAAGTATTTGGTCAATAACAAAAGTTTCTCAATACTTTGTTGTATACCCTTTGTTGGCAATGACACAGGTCAAACGTTTTCTGTAAGTCTTCACAAGGTTTTCACACACTGTTGCTGGTATTTTGGCCCATTCCTCCATGCAGATCTCCTCTAGAGCAGTGATGTATTGGGGCTGTCGCTGGGCAACATGGACTTTCAACTCCCTCCAAAGATTTTCTATGGGGTTGAGATCTGGAGACTGGCTAGGCCACTCCAGGACCTTGAAATGCTTCTTACGAAGCCACTCCTTTGTTGCCCGGGCGGTGTGTTTGGGATCATTGTCATGCTGAAAGCCTTGCTGATGGAAGGAGGTTTTCACTCAAAATCTCACGATACATGGCCCCATTCATTCTTTCCTTTACACGGATTAGTCGTCCTGGTCCCTTTGCAGAAAAACAGCCCCAAAGCATAATGTTTCCACCCCCATGCTTCACAGTAGGTATGGTGTTCTTTGGATGCAACTCAGCATTCTTTGTCCTCCAAACACGACGAGTTGAGTTTTTACCAAAAAGTTCTATTTTGGTTTCATCTGACCATATGACATTCTCCCAATCCTCTTCTGGATCATCCAAATGCACTCTAGCAAACTTCAGACGGGCCTGGACATGTACTGGCTTAAGCAGGGGGACACATCTGGCACTGCAGGATTTGAGTCCCTGGCGGCGTAGTGTGTTACTGATGGTAGGCTTTGTTACTTTGGTCCCAGCTCTCTGCAGGTCATTCACTAGGTCCCCCCGTGTGGTTCTGGGATTTTTGCTCACCGTTCTTGTGATCATTTTGACCCCACGGGGTGAGATCTTGCGTGGAGCCCCAGATCGAGGGAGATTATCAGTGGTCTTGTATGTCTTCCATTTCCTAATAATTGCTCCCACAGTTGATTTATTCAAACCAAGCTGCTTACCTATTGCAGATTCAGTCTTCCCAGCCTGGTGCAGGTCTACAATTTTGTTTCTGGTGTCCTTTGACAGCTCTTTGGTCTTGGCCATAGTGGAGTTTGGAGTGTGACTGTTTGAGGTTGTGGACAGGTGTCTTTTATACTGATAACAAGTTCAAACAGGTGCCATTAATACAGGTAACGAGTGGAGGACAGAGGAGCCTCTTAAAGAAGAAGTTACAGGTCCGTGAGAGCCAGAAATCTTGCTTGTTTGTAGGTGACCAAATACTTATTTTCCACCATAATTTGCAAATAAATTCATTAAAAATCCTACAATGTGATTTTCTAGAAAAAAAAATAGTTGACGTGTACCTATGATGAAAATTACAGGCCTCTCTCATCTGTTTAAGTGGGAGAACTTGCACAATTGGTGGCTGACTAAATACTTTTTTCCCCCACTGTATACACCATGTCTGTAGCAATGTCACAATTAGAGTTGCAAAGCTACTGGTAATTTACCAAAGTTACCGGAATCTTCAGTAATTTTGGTAATTAACAGAAATTCTATGGCAATCTATCATAACTTTGGTAATTTGTACTTTAATAACTAAAACACTTTTTAAAAGTATTCATATTTACTGTTCATTTTTTATATCTGTGTCCATATTGTCCATGAGTTTCTAGTAGATAGACCATATGGTTCAAGAGAAAATTGCCTAATTAATGAAAAAAGCATCTAACTAACAATGGCATTATTTTCAATTACCTCTGAAACTTGTCCAACTATTGACTTTTTTCACAACTGCCACCAGTTTGAAACAAAAACATTGACAAATACATATTGACATAGTAAAGTTAATAAAAGCATCTTTAAAAAATTAAGCATATTTCATGCTGAAACTCTCATATTAAAACACCAATGGTATTCACTAAATTGATGGATTATATTTAGGGTAATGTTTTACAGCTTTTTCATTCCATTTCTTCTTTTAAAAATCAGCTTATTTAATTATTTCATATATTTGTATTTGTATTGTATTTATTATGGATCCCCATTAGCTGCTGCCAAGGCAGCAGCTACTCTTCCTGGGATCAAGCAACATTAAGGCAGTTATATATCTTTAGAACATTACAATACATTCATAACAGATTTCACAACATATTAAGTGATTGGCCACAGACGGCCAGAGAAAATTACCTTTGATAATCTGAAGTACCATAATCGACCACTAGATGTCTTGTCATATTATTATTATTATTATTATTGTGATAGATTACATAAAATCCTTGAAAGATACCCAAATTCTGGTAGTTTACTGGTAAACTTCTGAAGTTTCCAGTAATATACCCTCCCTTTGCAACCAAAGTCACAATGTAATTCTTTGAAGTGGAAAAAGTAATAGAATCACTGCTGTTGTGAAAGAACTCGTGAGCAAGAGAGAGAAACAGCGACAGAGACTCTACTCATAGGCATGGTGTTGAACCTGCAGCAGAAGTCTGAACTAAGACTTCAACCCCTAGTCTGCATGTCTCTACGGCTCAGCAAAGACAACATTACCCTGTGAGCAATGGAGACTCAATGGAGCTCTGACCTTGAAGAGGCTGGTCAGACTTAAAACATCCAGGCCACAGCCACAGGCCTGAATACCAATCCACTGCATCCCTATTCATCAATCCCCCGAGCGCCGCCAAAGGTCCTGGCGGTCTTAATGTGTCAGTGACTCTACGTTGTTGAACGCAGGGCTGTACTCAGCAGTATGCCTGGACACTGAAAGCCTTCTGGCCTGGACACTGAAAGCCTTCTGTGATGCATGAGCCGAGGCGGCGGATCGGACAGTGAGGACGGTGCAGGACGAATGGGCCAATAGACTTCTGTACAGAACAGGACATTTAAATAAAGACTTGGATAAATCAAATATATTCTCAGTAGCAATTAAACTACTCAGGTAACAAACTCAGGTATGTATGGCTCTACTATTGCCAACCTGTTACCTGCCCAACCTGCTCTCTCTCAGGCAAAGGCCAAATGAGCACCTAAGTAGGCCTACTCTTTCCAGGAACCCCCTTCCGCTAGGAACATCCAAGGGATAGCCCAAAATACATTTAAACCATAAACGCATAATTTCCCATGGAAATATCAACACATCATAAAACAATGTTATTCCAATAATTCTATTTTGTTTGTTTATTGGAATAACGTTGTTTATGATGTGTTGATATTTCCATGGAAAATTATGCGTTCATGATTTATTATATGTTTATGTGTAAAATTGATTGTGTCCATAAAATGTATATAGTATGTACAGTGAGGTAAAAAAGTATTTGATCCCCTGCTGATTTTGTACGTTTGCCCACTGACAAAAGAAATGATCAGTCTATAATTTTAATGGTAGGTTTATTTGAACAGTGAGAGACAGAATAACAACAAAAAAATCCAGAAAAACGCATGTCAAAAATGTTATAAATTGATTTGCATTTTAATGAGGGAAATAAGTATTTGACCCCTCTGCAAAACATGACTTAGTACTTGGTGGCAAAACCCTTGTTGGCAATCACAGAGGTCAGACGTTTCTTGTAGTTGGCCACCAGGTTTGCACACATCTCAGGAGGGATTTTGTCCCACTCCTCTTTGCAGATCTTCTCCAAGTCATTAAGGTTTCGAGGCTGACGTTTGGCAACTCGAACCTTCAGCTCCCTCCACAGATGTTCTATGGGATTAAGGTCTGGAGACTGGCTAGGCCACTCCAGGACCTTAATGTGCTTCTTCTTGAGCCACTCCTTTGTTGCCTTGGCCATGTGTTTTGGGTCATTGTCATGCTAGAATACCCATCCACGACCCATTTTCAATGCCCTGGCTGAGGGAAGGAGGTTCTCACCCAAGATTTGACGGTACATGGCCCCGTCCATCGTCCCTTTGATGCGGTGAAGTTGTCCTGTCCCCTTAGCAGAAAAACACCCCCAAAGCATAATGTTTCCACCTCCATGTTTGACGGTTGGGATGGTGTTCTTGGGGTCATAGGCAGCATTCCTCCTCCTCCAAACACGGCGAGTTGAGTTGATGCCAAAGAGCTCGATTTTGGTCTCATCTGACCACAACACTTTCACCCAGTTCTCCTCTGAATCATTCAGATGTTCATTGGCAAACTTCAGACCGGCCTGTATATGTGCTTTCTTGAGCAGGGGGACCTTGCGGGCGCTGCAGGATTTCAGTCCTTCACGGCGTAGTGTGTTACCAATTGTTTTCTTGGTGACTATGGTCCCAGCTGCCTTGAGATCCTTGACAAGATCCTCCCGTGTAGTTCTGGGCTGATTCCTCACCGTTCTCATGATCATTGCAACTCCATGAGGTGAGATCTTGCATGGAGCCCCAGGCCGAGGGAGACTGACAGTTCTTTTGTGTTTCTTCCATTTGCGAATAATCGCACCAACTGTTGGTCCTCTGTAGCTAGGCTGGTAGAGCACGGCGCTTGTAACGCCAAGGTAGTGGGTTCGATCCCCGGGACCACCCATACACAAAAATGTATGCACGCATGACTGTAAGTTGCTTTGGATAAAAGCGTCTGCTAAATGGCATATTATTATTATTGTCACCAAGCTGCTTGGCGATGGTCTTGTAGCCCATTCCAGCCTTGTGTAGGTCTATAATCTTGTCGCTGACATCCTTGGAGAGCTCATTGGTCTTGGCCATGGTGGAGAGTTTGGAATCTGATTGATTGAGTGCTTCTCCCTTTAAGAGTGTGCTCCTAATCTCAGCTCGTTACCTGTATAAAAGACACCTGGGAGCCAGAAATCCTTCTGATTGAGAGGGGGTCAAATACTTATTTCCCTCATTAAAATGCAAATCAATTTATAACATTTTTGACATGCGTTTTTCTGGATTTTTTTGTTGTTATTCTGTCTCTCACTGTTCAAATAAACCTACCATTAAAATTAGACTGATCATGTCTTTGTCAGTGGGCAAACGTACAAAATCAGCAGTGGATCAAATACTTTTTTCCCCTCACTGTATAAGCTGGAAGTAGAGGCCTAAGCATTGTTGTTCACTAGTTTACTCCAATTAGGGAAGGGGTGGTGGGGTTGGAAAGTAATAAAGGGAAATATATTTTATAAAAGTGTATGTATGTATATATATATATTTGCAAGAAAAAAAAAGTGATGCAGACAATTACATTGATGGAAGTTACAATCTATCTGCAATATTAAAGCTGATCAACCAATTACTCGATGACTCGCAGAATAATCTGTGTCATGCGCAATGGCACATCAACAGGGAAAGTGCAGAGCTTCAAACAAACACATCGGGTAGGTTAAATAAATTCTATGATTATTCTTCAACCAACAATTCGATTGTTCTTCTAATAATATATTTCACATTGCTAGAGCATGTACTTTTAAAATGGGAAGCTTTAAACATAGTAGAAACATGGTTATCGAGTTACATTGTTTAATTACTGCCATGCGCAACAAACAATTTTGTCGCCTTTATGTCAAAGCATTGTCGGCACACGGAATGCACAACTCTAACCAGCATGTTCTCTTTTGTTTCAGGATTCTTGAAGATACGTGGCAGCATAGATGCGGTAAAGAGGTCAATGGAACTCAACCAAAACAATGGAAATTCCATGGAAACGCGAGGGGGAAAGATCCCGAATCTCCTCATTGCAACCAAGCAAAATTAGCCTCCATTTAGGCTACTGTTTATATGTGTATTTCACACTATGTGAAAGAGTATAATGCTTGTATGGATGTCAATCCCAATACATGTTCATGTCATCGTCACCAATCAACTGCATTACAGTTAAAAACGACTGACTACCACCGGGGTCCACCCAATGTTCCATGGACCATATTTTCCTTCAACCCCCATTTTCCCCTGGGCCCCATGTTCCCCTGCCCCATGTTCCCTCAGTACCCACTGAACCATTTTCAATCAAAATTGGCACAAATGCTTATGTCCAAATAATTTGTATTGTAATCAAATTTGGCCTTGTTTGGGGACAGAGATCATTAGAATAATACCCAGTGTGGTTTGCAAGTGTTCATTTTCACATAACATTTTGGTCATGTAGTAGAAGCTTTTATCACATCATAGTGCCATCACACGTCTGACACCAACGCAGTACATTTGGGGTAATAGGGGGCCACTACAAAAATGGTTTCCGAAGGTATTTAGAAATTGGCAACTTATTACAAAATATATTGCATTGTAGTTCAGGCCTGTAAAATACAAATGACAAAATACTCAGAAGTAATTCAAATACATACTTCAAAAACATGTAACAGTGGATCAACTCACCAAAATAAAATGTTTACATCAAGGGTGTGAAAAATATAAGCTACGTAAAATATTTGTTAGCACATTTCTTTATGCTAGCTATGCTCCCAGCTTATATGAACGGGAGTGAGCATTTAGCGTTCCACTTTTTCTAAACCTGAAAAGGGACTACTTCTAAATGTTATGCAGCAAAAACATGTATATCCAAATCTGACTTTAGTAACCACATCGTGGGCCTGTTATTATATTTGACCAATATCCACTTTGTTAGATCAGATGTGTTTAATGTGCGCCAATCCGCCGTCCTTCTATCCCCCACGGTCTGCGTTCTATTGACGTCTTTACCGCATCTATTAAAATAAACAGAGTTCTTGAACCAATACTGCGCTTCAGTGTCATTGTCGATAAGTCACGGACATGAGCTCCACTTCAGAGCCAGCGGTCTGTGTGAATGCTTTGTTTATTAGAGAGGAGACAGTTACACAACATGACCCTGGCTGGAACAGACTTGTCTAGACATCCAGATAAACTCATTCTCTAAACTAAAGGCTGCTGCTACGTGTATGTATGTATGTCGGCGCTCGCACCCACGCAGCCAAGTTAGGGAAATGTTTTCATGACTTTTAGCATTGGCAACATTATAGAGACGGAGTGAGAGAAAACTCAGCACTGCTGAAAGAACATCAGTCCATCTCCAGACTTTAAACTGAGGAGCAGCATAGACAAGGGTAGAAAGATGAGTCTTGTATTCATCTCTCTGAATGTGTCCCTAATGTGCTCCACATGTTAATTTAGCATATCAGCTTTGAGTGATTTAAAACCGATAATTTCTGCCTCGTTTCTCCAACCACAGACAGAGTGAAACAAATAGACTGATGGGCCATTTAATATTCACCAGCTTGGCCATCAATCCAGTGGTTTGCTTTACAGCTGGCCTGGGCCCACCGAGGCTCTGGCAGCAGCCATTGTAACCTTGCAGGGGATGATGATTAGATTAGGAAGCGTTATGACTGCAAATTGGACGTAATCTAATTGTCTGTTCTCCAGAAATAAAAAGTGCATCAATAAGGATGGAGGAGAGGGAGAGAGTGGATCTGGTAATGATGAAGTGGGAAGGCTGTTTGCAGGAGACCAAAGGGAGACAGAGGAGAGAGTGAGCAATAGAGAAAGAAAGATAGAAAGAGAGAGAGGGAGAAAACAAGAAAGCGAGAGGCAGACAGAGACCAACTGAGAAACAGAGAGAGGGAGCGAGAAACAAAATTGATGATATTCCTAAGGGCAGTGAAGTACAGCAAGGCAAGAAGCGCATGTTGTCATACCTCGCAGCTCTGCCACCTGTTGGGGATGTTGGCCCGTAGTTTCTGGTCACACACCACCCTCCTCATCTCCTCCACCGAGGGGTCTGGCTGGACCAGGTCATAGTAGGGCAGCTGGTAGTCCTCGTGGATACCTGGGGGGCAACAGACACAGAATTGGATTAGACTCACGCTTACACAGAATAAAGGCCAATGGCAATCTACAATACAATTCTGACAGAAAGTGTTGAAAATATCAGAGAATAACAAATATGATGACGCCAAGCCTTAAAGGGACCGACTAGAGAAGAGTCCCACATTAGATCCAAAGCCTTGGGACTTGTGTCAGTGGCTGGCTGCACTGTGTAACGGACATGATGCTTTCAGAATTAGCCAAGGTCCTTGGGGCCAAAACAACTCAGAGCTAAAAGGAGCATAGTGTTATAATAATAATAATAATAATAATAATAATAATAATAATAATAATATGCCATTTAGCAGACGCTTTTATCCAAAGCGACTTACAGTCATGCGTGCATACATTTTTACGTATGGGTGGTCCCGGGGATCGAACCCACTACCCTGGCATTACAAGCGCCATGCTCACCTCCTATTGAGCATCTCCGTGCGATCTCCCAAAACACCAGGCCCATGGCGTAGATATCGGCCCGCTTGAATGACTCAAAATGCTTCATGTTGATGGAGTCATCCAGGACTTCAGGGGCCATGTACCTGAGGAGACATTCACCACAGTTCCCTTTAGCCTCTCAGACACAGGGTGACAACATGAGTATCTTGAGTGACCCTGTACAGTCTCAGGCTATTGTCCAATCCTTCACTACGTGATGATCTGATCGAGGCAATTTTTTTAGTGTTGTCAGGAGAGTGGGAGAGCAAGAGAGAGCGAGAGAGAGAGAGAGAGAGAGAGAGCGCGAGGGACAGCAAGTGGAGAGAAGAGACCGAGAGTGTGGGAGAGACAGAGAGAGAGCAGGAGAGCGAGAGACAGAGAAAGAGCGAGCAAGACCGAGCGAGCGAGACCGAGCGAGCGAGAGGGGCTGTAGTAGGTTAGAGTTCACGGTCCATCACAGTGTACATGAAAGGACAGGAAGGGCAGAGCATGGCAAGAGGACAAAGCCAGGCGACACCCAGGACTCACATTAGCACACTGTCACAGACTACAGCTCTGCGCTGCCTGGTGGGGGTGGGGGGAACATGTCGTTGGAGGCCCCAGGGGACAGTGGTGGTGAGATGGGGGGGGAAGGTGTGGGTGTGAGTGGGGGGGTTGGTTCTTCTATCCTGGTTCTTCGTCCCCAAAAGGATAGTAAAACAAGGACAATTTCCCACGTCCCCATTAAAAGGCTATTTTAAGCTTAGGGGTTAGGTTTAGGGTAAGGGGTTAGTGGTTAGGTTTAGGTTTTGGGTTGTTAGTGTTAGGGAAAATAGGATTTAGAATTGAAAATTAATTTTAGGTCCCCACGAGGATAGAAGAAGTGGTGTTGTGTGTGTTGAAGTGGGGTTGACAGCTGACACACAGAAAGACAGCATCAGTGAAGCGGATTAGCTGTGACATCCTCCTGCTCAGTGCCTGCTGGTGTCCTCTGTGACCACCCAGCACTGCTCTACATGCCCCACCCTGCAACACTTTAGCATCAACATTCCTCCCTCCTCCTTCACATGACAGTCTTCCCCTCACACTCTCTTCCATCCCTCTGTATAGCCTTAGCAAGACACACGTATACATTGTTTTACACGTAACCATTTTCACATCCTCATCTATTCTTTTACATATCCTTGTCCATTCCTTATTTCATTGTGGGAACAACACTGAACAGTGTCCGCTTAATTATAATACCTAAATAATTAACATTAGTGATAAATGGCATTACTGATGCAAATACAAGTAATGCAGGCAATACCTTAAAGCGGCAATCAGCAGTAGAAACAATAACAAAGTGGCCTCCCCGCCCCTGGTTCAGTAAAAAGCTGAGGGAAGGGGCTGGAGAAATGTAATCACTCTCAAATTCATAGACAAAGCTATGGATGTAAGGATTGACCATCCATGATATCAAAATGATCGTTTTAACCATGTTTTACACTGTTACCTGAGAAGTGTAACGGACCAATGGGATCAGATAGCGATGCTTTCCCAACACGCTCCTTCCACTGAGCGGTTTAAGATTTCAGAGATAACGCTGCATCCACTTGTCAGAAGTCTCTTTCCTCATCACTCCTCCGCTCTCTCTATCACTCACAGGCATCCGATATCAACAGGCCCAATGACTCAGATGTCATTTTCCCTGAGCCCCAGCCCAAGACAGACAATACTGACGGCACACCAATGAGGGCATACACAGCCGTGTGGATTAAGGGACCAGAGAAAAACAATGTAACCTGCCCTCAAATTGAGTTTGACCTAATCTAAAGTAGTTGTCGCATTACGTGTGTGTGTGTATCCGTTTCTGTGTGTGTGTGTTTTCAGTGTATGTGTGTATCTCAGACACTTGTTTCTCTGGCCGTGCAGCCAGTCACCTCTTGGTTCCCACTCTGTGATTTGGGGCGATGTCGATGGTGTCGGTGGCAGAGTCGTGGCGGACAGCCAATCCCAGGTCAGCGATGCAGCAAGTACCATTCTTCTTCACCAGGATGTTCTTAGACTTCAGGTCGCGGTGTGCGATGGCAGGTTTACCTGGGGGAGGAGAACAGGGGGAAGAGGGTAAATGGAGAGTGAGAGAGAGAGCGAGCGAGGGGGGGAGAGAGAGAAGAGGAAAAGGAAGAGATGCAGAGAAAGGAAAATCTGAGTGCAGAGTAAAACCACTACATTTCATAACTATGTGCATGTTATGTGGATACATATGCTCTACGAAGTACATTAAGAGCCACATTTGGATAGGTCCTCCTCACCTTGCGTGCCAACAATCTCCATGTGCAGGTGAGCCAGGCCGCTGGAGGTGGACAGGGATAACTTGATCATGCCCTCCACTGTCACTGTGTACCTGTTCAGGTAGTCAAAAAGGGAGCCGTGCTCATGGTAATCTGATACCAGCCACAGTTGGGTCCACGTGCCGTTATCTGAGAGGAAAGAAAGGAGATGGAGGGGGGGGGGAGAACAGTGGGAGAGAGATAGGGAACAGTTAGGTGAGCTACACTTTACACAATACCTGCATTTACAACAGATCATCAGAGAAACTCATCAGTGAAACACTGCCTGCTAGTATCCGGACTATATACTATCTGGGTCCCAAATACACAATTCTAACTGCTTGTCAGCTGCTTTAGGCATGTGTGGCTTCTAAGTTCTCTGACAATAAAATTAAGCGCATCATAGGTCATAGAAAATAAGACCAATACAGAGTCATGTTCAGTAGGGCACACTATTAAAACATTTTCCTACAGAAAATGAAAATCTGGACTCTTATTGGACAAGTTCAGAAAGTACCTCCCTGTTTCTAAATGTTTTCTCCCTACTGAACACAACCCTGTTCCAATATGCCCTCTGACCTTTGTTGTCAGCGGCAATGAAGCCCAGGATGTTCTCGTGGCGAAGCATGACCGTCTGGTAGATCTCGGCCTCGCGGAACCACGAGCGCTCCTCCCGGGATGAGAAGATCTTGACGGCCACCTCCTCTCCTCGCCAGCGGCCCCGCCACACCTCCCCGAACCTCCCCTTTCCGATGCTCTCCTGCAGGATGATGGTCCTGGCTATGGTCCTCTGCACCAGTAGGGGCAGACCTGCAGGGGGATACGGAGAGAGAGCCCAGTTATTATGAGGCCAGGGTTTTAGGAGAAGTTTGAACGCAGTTCTATATAGCAAGGCGAGAGGAACTCGCAACTGTGATAGTGGTTGTGTGGAAAATACACTGAAGACACGGATTAAAAGCAGGCCATTGGATCCAAAATGGAATGAGTCTTTCTGTCGACAAATCCAATGTGTGCACAAGGCCAGATGAAAGAACACTGAGGCATTGAGGGGTACAGTAGGAAGACATCAACAGTCAGATCTGCAGCTATTCTCTATTTCAAAAACGTAGAACAAATATCCTCTGAAAATAGAACAAATTAACACTGTCTGAAGAGTGACTATTTTGACAGTATCCTCTCATTCTGTACCTTGGAGGTCCTGTCTGTCTGGTTTCACCTGGTATACTTTACATGTACATAAAACAGTCTAGAGCCCTCAAACTCAACTCTGGACTTTGAAGCCAGTTCCACTGCTTTTTTAAATTGTTCCCCTCTAATCAGGGACTAATTTAGACCTTGGACACCAGGTGGGTGCAATTAATTATCAGCTAGATCAGAAAACCAGCAGGGTAAGAGTTTTGGGTTTTGCCCTAGCACTACACAGCTGATTCAAATAACCAACTCATCATCAAGCTTTGATTATTTGAATCAGCTGTTTAGTGCTAAGGCAAAATCCAAAAGGTGCACCCGGTGGAGAGGAAGGACAGTTTGGGAAACCCTGTTCTAGAGCGTGCTTCTGCCCACGTTCCAGCTGCCTGGCTGGTCTGCATTATTTGACATTCTCTTAAACCTGGACATTAAAGTCAATGAGCAGAGAGAATAACCAGTAAGTTGGTGCCAGGGCAGAGAAAAACAAATACTGTCACGACCTCGCCATCAATAGAAGGCTGATATCATATAATTTTTCATCTCCAGTTCTATGGACAGTTTATGTCAAAGCCATTACAGAGGATGATGGCCACGATTCTATTTTTCTGATTGAAATACATGAATAAGATTCTGTTTCCGTGATTAAATGACTGTCCTTGACTGGTAGTTGTACGTCACAGCCTAACCGGCTGCTAAGCTGATGTCTATTAATCATTCGCTGAAACATTCATAGCCAAGAACATTTCCAGCAACTTATTGGCTCTCACTTACATTTACATCATTTAGCAGACGCTCTTATCCAGAGCGACTTACAAATTGGTGCATTCAACTTATGATAGCCAGTGGGACAACCACCTTTTTTTATGGGGGGTGGGGGAAGAAGGATTACTTTATACTATTCCAGGTATTCCTTAAAGAGGTACGGTTTCAAGTGTCTCCGGAAGGTGGTCAGTGACTCCGCTGTCCTGGCGTCGTAGGGGAGCATGTTCCACCATTGGGGTGCCAGAGCAGCGAATAGCTTTGACTGGGCTGAGCGGGAACTGTGCTTCCATAGAGGTAGGGGAGCTAGCAGGCCAGAGGTGGATGAACGTAGTGCCCTCGTTTGGGTGTAGGGTCTGATCAGAGCCTGAAGGTAAGGAGGTGCCGTTCCCCTCACAGCTCCGTAGGCAAGCACCATGGTCTTGTAGTAGATGCGAGCCTCAACTGGAAGCCATCTTGCGGACTGCTCCATAGAAAACCACAGTTTTGAAGAACTTCTTTAATACAACCCATTTAGTATGAGAAACTGTAAGCGCTCGCAAGGTCAGTATTATAGCTCTATAGAAACAACTTCTAGGCCTTTTCAGAACAACTTCCATAATCCTGTCAGTAAATGACATTTGAAAGTGCCTACAGTCAGACTTGTGCATTGGGCTGATATACAGTGGGGGAAAAAAGTATTTAGTCAGCCACCAATTGTGCAAGTTCTCCCACTTAAAAAGATGAGAGGGGCCTGTAATTTTCATCATAGGTACACGTCATCTATGACAGACAAAATGAGAAAAAATAATCCAGAAAATCACATTGTAGGATTTTTAATGAATTTATTTGCAAATTATGGTGGAAAATAAGTATTTGGTCAATAACAAAAGTTTCTCAATACTTTGTTATATACCCTTTGTTGGCAATGACACAGGTCAAACGTTTTCTGTAAGTTTTCACAAGGTTTTCACACACTGTTGCTGGTATTTTGGCCCATTCCTCCATGCAGATCTCCTCTAGAGCAGTGATGTTTTGGGGCTGTCGCTGGGCAACACAGACTTTCAACTCCCTCCAAAGATTTTCTATGGGGTTGAGATCTGGAGACTGGCTAGGCCACTCCAGGACCTTGAAATGCTTCTTACGAAGCCACTCCTTCGTTGCCCGGGCGGTGTGTTTGGGATCATTGTCATGCTGAAAGACCCAGCCATGTTTCATCTTCAATGCCCTTGATGATGGAAGGAGGTTTTCACTCAAAATCTCACGATACATGGCCCCATTCATTCTTTCCTTTACACGGATCAGTCGTCCTGGTCCCTTTGCAGAAAAACAGCCCCAAAGCATGATGTTTCCACCCCCATGCTTCACAGTAGGTATGGTGTTCTTTGGATGCAACTAAGCAGTCTTTGTCCTCCAAACACGACGAGTTGAGTTTTTACCAAAAAGTTATATTTTGGTTTCATCTGACCATATGACATTCTCCCAATCCTCTTCTGGATCATCCAAATGCACTCTAGCAAACTTCAGACGGGCCTGGACATGTACTGGCTTAAGCAGGGGGACACGTCTGATACTGCAGGATTTGAGTCCCTGGTGGCGTAGTGTGTTACTGATGGTAGGCTTTGTTACTTTGGTCCCAGCTCTCTGCAGGTCATTCACTAGGTCCCCCCGTGTGGTTCTGGGATTTTTGCTCACCGTTCTTGTGATAATTTTGACCCCACGGGGTGAGATCTTGCGTGGAGCCCCAGATCGAGGGAGATTATCAGTGGTCTTGTATGTCTTCCATTTCCTAATAATTGCTCCCACAGTTGTTTTCTTCAAACCAAGCTGCTTACCTATTGCAGATTCAGTCTTCCCAGCCTGGTGCAGGTCTACAATTTTGTTTCTGGTGTCCTTTGACAGCTCTTTGGTCTTGGCCATAGTGGAGTTTGGAGTGTGACTGTTTGAGGTTGTGGACAGGTGTCTTTTATACTGAAAACAAGTTCAAACAGGTGCCATTAATACAGGTAACGAGTGGAGGACAGAGGAGCCTCTTAAAGAAGAAGTTACAGGTCTGTGAGAGCCAGAAATCTTGCTTGTTTGTAGGTGACCAAATACTTATTTTCCACCATAATTTGCAAATAAATTCATAAAAAATCCTACAATGTGATTTTCAGGATTTTTTTTCCTCAATTTGTCTGTCATAGTTGACGTGTACCTATGATGAAAATTACAGGCCTCTCTTATCTTTTTAAGTGGGAGAACTTGCACAATTGGTGGCTGACTAAATACTTTTTCCCCCCACTGTAGCTGCCCACCTTTTAATAGATGGAATACTTAAATCAATCCTAAGGGAAACTGTATTGGTAGGGAGATGGGACACCATTATGTTAACTTTAGGAACATATTTACGAAGATAAAACTGGACATCTTGTACAGAGCTTTATCGGTACCATAGTAGACCATGCTACACCTCCTCCATTAAACTAAATATGTTTAAAACGTATCTCCCAAAGGGTGTGATGAATGTACTGTAGTACATCAAACTGCAAAACCCACCTGATCCGGAGCCTGAGGTGGTCATGTCGTAGATGAGGTTTTTGAGGGTGTGGCCATCGGCCAGGAAGGGGTGGTCCATGCCAGGGTCTTCTTCATTGGGCACGCGGTGGTGGATGATCGAGCGGCTGTGGCACACATAGAACAGCAGCAGCAGCACGAAGCACAGCACACACACCGGCCCCGCGATGGCGGCCGCAAGGGCCACTGGGCTCAGGGGAGGGGTACGGGCTGTGGGGACTGGAGGGAGACGAGAGTGGGGTTAGTGTTGTGCCATACTAACACACACGCATGGGCACACATGACCATGCACACAGTCACACTGATGTATAGTCACACGCATACAGTCATGTACACACACGCCCGGCTATCACCAACTGCTGGAAATCCGTCATACTTGATGTTTAGTCTGTCTGTAAGAGACAGTTTCCATCAACAAACACACAGTGATAACAAAGCAGGAACTGATAGGGTTCCTTTGAAAACATTGCAACAGCCCTGTTGAAATGTAAAAGCATTACCCGATACTGGCTAACTTTCTCTAATTGACTTGCTGAGAATCAGAGAAGTGTGATCTGCATACAGCGCTGAGACGTGAGGGTGAACAAATATTAATGGAACTTTAAGTCAGGCACTTTCAGCTCTCAGAATAAGGACTGTCGTGGGACTTCATTAGGAAGCATCAAAACTTGCTTCTGGAGCTTTTCAATCGTTCAACTGCCTGGCGACTACAGCCTGTCAAATCTTTCCAATAGTCACAGCTGCACACAGAGGAAGGCTTACTAATGGCCCTGCTATTACTGAATGACAGTATGGTGAGAGAGGATATCTGCTGACTATCATACTGAGAAGCACAGCATGGAGGCAGTTTCAGACCCATGATCAAGAATAGGAGAAGTGAGGTGCTTCTTTCTGACCACAAGAGCAGAACCCGACAACGTGTCCAAGCAGAGACATTGCTTCAGATATATTAAACAATATTCAGTGACATATAGGGCCAGTTTCCTGAACTCAGATTAAGACCGTCTAAGACTAAAAAGCTGGTTCCATGGAAATGGAATGTGCCTCCGTGTCCAGGATACTGGGCTTACATATTGTCATTTTGACTCTCCCGCATGAGTGAGAGTGCTATAAAAAGAAACGGGTAGAGCCTTGCGGGGAGAAAGTAAATAGCTCATGAAGAAACATGGGTTGTTGCTGGGAGAATAGTAGCATTAACAATCAACTCCTGCTCTTATATAAATGACCTAACATCCAATCCATTGGAGCTGAAAAATACCTTGGGCCTGTAAGTATGGGTTCATATTTCACAAAGCAGGCGACAGAAACTGAAAGAGCAGCAGAATGGCGGAAAGATTCAATTGTACTTCTGCAGAGCGTGCGCACACACAGTAACACAGACAATTCTGTGGCATATTTTCAAGGTCCATGGTCCAAAAAAGTACAGGAAATACTTTGTGCAGGTGACATACCCTTATTCTATTGTAGACTAGTGAATGGATGATCGTCAAACATGCTTCACAAATATAGTCTCACCATCAATTCTCTGCTTCACTGTTTAGATTAGTCACCAAATCCCAAATAGATTCCTAGCACCTACCCCAAAAACATTTTTTGTACATCTGAAATGATTAGGAAAGTATAAGCAATATGGTAATATGATGGGCAACATTTTCACCATATGACTTCCTCCTTTCAGATCTACACAGTTACACTGCACATTAGGTAGTTGCCTATGAGCTAGTGGTCAATTTAGGACTTGGCATGCGAGTGTGTGAAAGATGATAGAGACCCGAGACATATCAGACACTTACATGTCTCCGAGTAGTCTTCTGGGTTGAGGTCTTTGTTACACATGTCTCTGTTGCAGCAGACAGGGACAACACCGGTGTTCTCCTTCTTGGAAGGAGCGCAGACGAACGGCCTGTCTTTAGGGATGAGGTCTGCCTCCGGTAAACACGTGCTCCCCTGTGCCACCATCTTACTGCCCGACTTGACGAAGGACACAAAGCACAGGCCGTCCGTGTAGCAGGTACTGTTACTACACCAATGGCAGTCGCACTGCAACGCTGAGAGATGAGAGAGGAAGGGTTTTAGTGAATATACAGAATACAGAAACTGAATCTGGTAAAAAGAAAGAAGCGCTTGTTCTGATAAAAGGAAGAAGCACTTCTGGTAAAAAGGAAAAGCATAGCCAAGTCAAGACCTTAACATTTTTCAATCTGTCTGGAATATACACCAGTTCTGTAATATGAAAATTGTCATTCTTAGTGCACAACAGGTAGGGATGTTCTTTCAGAGCAGTAATTGCAGGATAAATGTGATAAGAGCAGATGTGGTTTGTAAGTACACAATGTGGTTGATACTGGGTTGCAACTGAAGACACTACAGAACACACAGTAAGGGCTCAGACACACCAATAGCTTTTGCTGGCCCAGAATACTTAGCACCTCAGTCTTCTGAGGCGCAACAAATGTGCGCAACAAATGTACATGTAGAATCAGGTGAAAAATGGCGTCAGTCAGACGTCTACAGCGGGTGGTCACTAAAACACTGAACGATCGGCAGAAGAAGGCTAGATCCACATTCGGTGCGATGTGTGTGATCCTTTAGTAGAAGGAAAGAGTTGCTAATGCTTTCACAGCAACAGGAGAATCCAGACTCGAGAGTTGTTATTGGTCAGGCTTTGGCCCCATAGCTCAGGTTACACAGGGATGGCTGGGGGGAGGGGTGTGTATGTGTGTGCACAAACGCACCAACAAGCAGCACTGCAGCCAACACAAGCCAGATTTAGTGGGCCTAGCACTACACCCAGCCTGCAGCAAGTGACTCAGCTCCTGTGATCTTACATACATAGCAAATGTGTTAAATGTAACACTTTCTTAGAAATTATATGTGAACCACCGAAATAGTGTTAAACTAACACTTTACAAAGTGTTGACAAACCAACAACCCTACTTAAAATAACACTATTAAAGTTGATGCTGGGACACTTTCTCAGTGTTAGGGAATGCCTTTCGAGTGAATGTGAGAGATACCCACCCATGACTGTGTTTGTTAGTGACAGAGACATGGTTGTTGCATTCAATAACTTCTAGTCCTGAAGCCTTCACCAAGTGACTGCCTAAGTGAATGTGTTTGAATGGGCCACGTCAGACCTGCAAGTCACAATACGCTGGCCATAATTAAAGGTCTTATAAAATGTACAATATATAGTCAAAGAGTTAACGGAAATTAACTCAACACAGTCAAGTAACAGCACCACGCAGAGATGATTCCACTGGGATTCAAATAACACTTAATTTATTCACTGCAGGTGATGTCAATTTTAATCCCACTAGAATCAACACTCAGGACACTTCTCAAAACCGAGATTTTAACACTTGCAAATTTACTGTGTAGGCTAGACACACTACACACTCTGCAAAGGCACGCACAAAATACACACAGCAACACACACACACTGGAGGTCCAACAGGCCCAACCTAAAACGGCCTCTCACCAAACCACAGGCTACAATTAAAGCAGTGTGATAGCAGGCCGTCTAGACGGACCTCTAGACCTCTGGCTTGAAACGAGACCAGGGATGGAGAGAGAGGGCGGCCATTAAAGGAACGCTAGCCGTTAAACGACCTCTGCTGCATTCCTAGAGAGAGGATCTGGGGTAGGGACTTGAGAGGGAGTTGTAATGGCAGCAGTACTGCAGAGAGATTCAGGGGAGGAAAGTCGTTTTCTGAGAGAAAATGGGCAGGGGCAGAGTGGCAGTCTGATCATTGATCCTGTAGCACTGACTGAGGCATCCATATATCTACCTCTCTCTCCATCTGCTTGGCAGAGACTCCTGAAAACATAGAACAGAAGTATCGACCTAAATCTCAGAGCTCAAAATAAAAAAGTTAGGATATGTTTTTTTTCTTTCTTCTAATGGCTTTTTTCAAACTCTTAACATTGTGTGATCAGGCAGGCACCCAGGAGACAGATACGAGGTGGCAGGTACTCTGAGTCGCTCAAAGTATAACTGCCTCTCCCTGGGTTCTGGAGTGGTTGGGCGCATGGGTCCTTCTCCACTCTGAGTGCTTGCCTATGAATGGCCTGGCCTGTACTCACCAGCCAGCTTCTCCTCCCTTCCTCAGACTCCTTCCTTCCACTCTGCACTCTTTCCTTCCTTCGGTTCTTTCACTCCCCCACAACCCCCTTACTTACCCAATCTCTAGGGGTTGTTAGACAATCAGTCAAAGTTGGCCCAGAAACTCCTTCTCTCCCACGGTTCTTCTTCTATCTGCATTTCTGGCCAATCAATTCTCTATCAGCAGTGACAGGAGCTTAAACCTGCCTGGCCAATCAATAGATGGAAAGGTACTGCTGATGTTTTGGTAGCTGCTTTCTAGATACAAACTAGCCCATCTTTCCTCCTGTTTCCCAAAAGGTAGCTGGTATTGAGATTCACATCATGTGTAACAGTCAGACAGTGGGCTTGGCAGACAAAGAGTGAGTTGCTCCATATATCCGAATGACAGAACTGAAGCCTCCACTCTGTGCCATCCAATCACCATAGAAACCATAGAATAAGAAAAACACACTATTTATATCTCAATGATGAAATGAAAAAGAAACAAGAAATCCAAGGCAACTAGACTTTTACAATCTAGAGACCTAGATGTCTCTTCGTGCATTATGGAGGAAGTTAGAGGTAGTTTCACGAGCCTGATGCTAACTAGCATTAGCGCAATGAACTGTAGATGCACTACGCAGAAATCACTCTGCCATTTCCTTGTTTCAGTTTGTGACAAAACAAGCAAGTATAGTGTAAATAATCATTATACCATCTAAACCGCTGTTAAATATATTTTCCATAACCAAAAATATTGTATTTTCAGCTATTTGAAGCCAGTGTACAAAACTAAAAGTAAAAGACGCAAAAACGAAACATAAGCATGTAAATATTGCACATAGAACAGATCTACCGCTTCTTAGACTTTCTTTCAATGAGAATGACAGATCTATAACTCCCATTTTTATGTGAATTTGGTCAGGCCACCCAAAAAGTTATATATTGCTGATTTAAAAGGAAGTCTGTGTAAGGCCAAAATGTCATAAATATGCCAACTTTGATAACTATTTCTCAATTACGTTTTGTGATACAAATGTCAAACATATGTCAACAATCCTTCCTCCAAAGGTCTATCCTATTGATACAATTTTGTGAAAATCCTCAAAATCATGGTATTTTTTTTGTCCTGGTTTCATATGGAATCACTAAAAGGCTTTAAGAAATAAAATAAAATGGATTGCCAGCAGCAGTAGTAGTTTGGAGCACACAGACACAGACAGGTGGAAATGCCTGGGTCTAAGCACACAGCCAGAGGAAATTATGGCGAGGTAGAGAGTGGGAGAGAAAGGAGAGGTATGTGAGACGTCTCCACCAGCTGAGGGGTGAGGTAGGGCCTGCAGAGCAAAGGGCCCTGTTGCTGCAGCAGCTCTTAATAGTCAATGGCCTTGCTGGAAAAGCCTTCTCTTAGGCCCAAGAGAGGGCTTCAGGGGCCCTAAACTGTGGCCAATGGTCACACTAAGGACTCTACCCTGCATCTTAGAGACTGTTGCCCTATGTACAGTGCCATGAAAAAGTATTTGACCCTTTTTTATACTGAATGTCATCAGATCTTTAACCAAAACTGAATTAGGTAAAGGGAACCGGAGCTTGCAAATAACAAAAAAAAATATATATTTTTTATTTATTTAACTAACAAAGTTATGCATCACCCAATTCCCCTGTGTGAAAAAGTAATTGCCCCTTACACTCAATAACTGGTTGTGCCACCTTTAGCTGCAATGACTGCAACCAAATGCTTTCTGTAGCTGTCTCTGACATCGCTGTGGAGGAATTTTGGCCCACTCTTTTTATTTTACCTTTGTTTAACTAGGCAAGTCAGTTAAGAACACATTCTTATTTACAATGACGGCCTACAATGGCCAAACCCGGACGACGCTGGGCCAATTGTGCGCCGCCCTATGGGACTCCCAATCACGGCCGGTTGTGATACAGCCTGGAATCGAACCAGGGGATCTGTAGTGACGCCTCAAGCACTGAGATGCAGTTCCTTAGACCACTGCGCCACTCGGGAGCTCTTGCATGCAGAACTGATTTAACTCAGCAACCTTTGTGGGTTTTCAAGCATGAACTGCTCTTTTCAAGTCCTGCCACAACATCTCAATTGGGATTAGGTCTGGACTTTGACTAGGCCACTCCAAAAATGCAAATTGTATCCATTTTCATGTAGACTTGATTGTGTGTTTTGGATCAGTCTTGCTGCATGACCCAGCTGCGCTTCAGGTTCAGCTCACAAACGGATGGCCTGACATTCTCCTGTAGAATTATCTGATAGAGAGCAGAATTCATGGTTTCTTTTATTAAGGCAAGTCGTCCTGAGGCAGCAAAGCATCCCCAAACCATCACACTACCACCACCATGCTTGACCGTTGGTATGAGGGGACCCATGTCATCCAAAAAGTTGACCCAAGTTTTCCAAAAAGCACCTGGATGATCATCAAGACTCTTGGAAGAATGTTCTATGGACAGATGATTCAAAAGTATAACTTTTTGGACGACATGGGTCACAGCACTGTACATAGTCATTGAACCCTGGTCACTTTAATAATGTTAACATACTGTTTTACCACTTTATATGTATATACTATATTCTAGTCATGGCTCATCCTATATAGCTCAGTGTTTTCCAGAAGTACATACAGTAGCCAGCCAAATAAAAAAAAGTAGACAGCCAGGCATCCCCGGTTAAACCTTTAACATTAACTTTTAAGAAGACACACCTGTTAATTGAAATGCATTCCAGGTGACTACCTCATGTAGCTGGTTGAGAGAATGCCAAGAGTGTGCAAAGCTGTCATCAAAGCAAAGGGTGGCTATTTGATTTGGTTACTACATGATTCCACATACAGCTCTGGAAAAAATTAAGAGACCACTGCAAATGTTTTTTAAATCAACATCTCTACATGTATGACAGCCATTCCATTCCAGTGTCTGTTGAATTCCAACACAGGCACACCTCATTCTACTGAATTAGGTACTGATTAGGTGATCACCTGAACCAAATCTTATTTAACAAGGAAAAGTATAAAAACCACTGCTGTGGTCATCACTACCCTCTTGCAATAGGACCAGCTGGATGGCAAAAACAGTGCTAATAGTACCTCAAAAGTAATATTAATCAAAAAATAACTATGGACCATGCCAAAAGAGTTGAAAAGGAAAGTTGAGTGAGAAAAAGATGGGTTCAATTCTGGCTTTACTGGCAGAGGGATACAGTGAGCGTCAGGTTGCTTCTGTCCTTAAAATGTCAAAGAGGGCGGTTCATAAGAACAAGGTCAAGCAGCAGACATTGGGGACAACAAAGCTACAGACTGGCAGAGGGCGAAAACGACTCTACACTGACCGGGATGACCGTCAACTCATTCGAATGTCACTCAACAACTGTAGGATGACATCAAGTGACCTACAAAAAGAATGGCAAACGGCAGCTGGGGTGAAGTGCACGGTGAGGACGGTTCAAAACAGGCTCCTAGGGGCAGGGCTGAAGTCATGCAAAGCTAGAAAAAAGCCCTTCATCAATGTGAAGCAAAGAAGATCCAGGCTGAGGTTTGCAAAAGACCATAAGGATTGGACTGTAGAGGACTGGAGTAAGGTCATTTTCTCTGATGAGTCCAATTTTCAGCTTTGCCCAACACCTGGTCGTCTAATGGTTAGACGGAGACCTGGAGAGGCCTACAAGCCACAGTGTCTCGCACCCACTGTGAAATTTGGTGGAGGATCAGTGATGATCTGGGGGTGCTTCAGCAAGGCTGGAATCGGGCAGATTTGTCTTTGTGAAGGACGCATGAATCAAGCCACGTACAAGGTTGTCCTGGAAGAAAACGTGCTTCCTTTTGCTCTGACATTGTTCCCCAACTCTGAGGATTGGTTTTTACAGCAGGACAATGCGCCATGCCACACAGCCAGGTCAATCAAGGTGTGGATGGAGGACCACCAGATCAAGACCCTGTCATGGCCAGCCCAATCTCCAGACCTGAACCCCATTGAAAACTTCTGGAATGTGATCAAGAGGAAGATGGATAATAATAATAATAATAATAATAATAATAATAATAATAATAATATGCCATTTAGCAGACACTTTTATCCAAAGCGACTTACAGTCATGCATGGATGGTCACAAGCCATCAAACAAAGCCGAGCTGCTTGAATTTCTGCGCCAGGAGTGGCATAAAGTCACCCAACATCAATGTGAAAGACTGGTGGAGAGCATGCCAAGACGCATGAAAGCTGTGAATGAAAATCAGTGTTATTCCACCAAATATTGATTTCTGAACTCTTCCTAAGTTAAAACATTAGTATTGTGTTGTTTAAAAATGAACATGAACTTATTTTCTTTGCATTATTCGAGGTCTGACAACACTGCATCTTTTTTGTTATTTTGACCAGTTGTCATTTTCTGCAAATAAATGCTCTAAATGACAATATTTTTATTTGGAATTTGGGAGAAATGTTGTCAGTAGATTATAGAATAAAACAAAAATGTTATTTTTACCCAAACACATACCTATAAATAGTAAAACCAGAGAAACTGATAATTTTGCAGTGGTCTCTTAATTTTTTCCAGAGCTGTATGTTATTTCATAGTTTTGATGTCTTCACTATTATTCTACAATATAGACAATAGTAAAACTAAAGAAAAACCCTTCAATGAGTAGGTGTGTCCAAACTTTTTACTGGTACTGTACACTAACAATCAAATGCAAACAATTCACACAATGAAGTTATGAAAC